TAACTTTACTTTTTAACTTTTTACTTTATTCTTGACTTGTTAACTTTTTTTTTTTTCCAATTTAATTCACAGTAGGTAATAATATAATTTAAGGGCAAATCTAATTGGTCAAATGAATGCTAAAATAACATGCGCAGCCATATAGCAGCATCTTTGCTTAATAGCTGGATATAGATCTTGTGCTTTTAGACCTCACTGGGGGGGGTCTCCATTTGTAAGACTTAATTGTAATTTATGAATTTAATTTATTGCAAGGGGTATGCAAGTGATCCAAAAAAGCTAACTTGCCCTATAAAGGTTTAAGGGGATTTTATTTATCTCACAAAATATCAATAAAATAAGATAAAATTAAAGAAAAACTGGTAGAGCACATTGGGTATGAAATGATTTATGAATGTTGAATATCCTAATAATAGCAGGGCTTCTATCCTTTTAGGAAGAACTTGGATTATAAAGAGCTAAACCAGAGTTAATTCAATCATTCTAAAATAAATAAAAGCTTAACTTAAGCATTGGGAAAAAAAAACTTTTATGGAGCATATTCATTGAATTCCAACAACAAAACAAGTCAATAATAGCAAACATATTTAAAAGACTAATTCCAAACCATAACTGTAGCTCATATCTTTTTTAAATCATCAGCTTTCAAAATGTTCAATACAATCCCAGTTTTGATACTTTCATTCAGGCCTATTGCACACATTATTGTGTGTCTCTAATTTTTTCAACATTATTGCTTCTACATAAGACGGCAGCGCAACAGAATTGCTAATTTCTGCACACATGATATATATTATTAAAAAAACAATCAGCAAATCATTCATACTAGTAGGTTGTTTATGTAAAATGATCCAGAGGCAACAAAGAAAGTACTACAAATGGGAAACATTATAACAGGAAATCAAAAACAGGAAGTCACAAAATTGAATATCTTGTGTCAGAAAATTATGTTTCCGTAAATTGGTTAGAGTGAAAGATTAAATCCTGTCTGTAATAAAAACCTGGAACCAAAACCAGCTAAGGTGAATAAAAACCATTATTTGGGAAAATGTGTAAAACCAATTATTCTTGGTCTGCTCAGAGCCTACAGCTGATCTTCAGCATCTAGCCATGATGTGCTCTGCCGCACAGATGTGAAGCATCCAGCTGCTCTGTCTCTAACCAACATCCACTGAACTCTCCTAACCCTCTTTACAGCCCAAAAGGAACCGCTCTGCAACATACAGACAAACTTTCCATAATTAACAATCAAACACACCTACTGCGTGTATAATTAGGCACGAGAACAGACGGCGAGCCAGAGGAACATATCTTGACTTCTAAACCTTGTTCAGTCAACGTGACAGAAAGCCTTCGTGCTAAAAAAGATAATAAAATAAATAAAAATATAAAAAAAGAAATCATAGAAACCTAGTAATGGACACAACATCTGTCTCTGGATGTATTTTTCCCATTGACTCTTCTGTGTATGCTGTTTTTTTTTTTTTTAGAGTTTTGTTTTTTAGCCAGAGCAAACTAAGCTGAGCAAACCTCATCAAAAAAACATGAAACTCTGTATTGTTTTTAATGCAGACAGAGTGTTTACACGCTGTTAACCTTAACGTGACTCATCTGAGTTCACATCAGCCCACGTCTTTACCTCAAAGGGCAATCATGTACAGCCAGAGGTACAGTTAATAGACTTTAATTTAAAATTTAAACCACATGGTTGCAACACATACAATCATCCTTGAATACAGAGAAATCAAAACAAATAAATCCAGAAATTGGTTTGGGTTTATGCTTAAAAATGTGGATAAGATAAAAAAAAATAAAAATAAAAACTTTAAGAAACACAAACCCCAAAAAATCTAGTGGTACTTAAAAAAAAATCCCTGCCCTTCTTCAATGGCATCTAATATCTGATATGCAGTTAACAAATATAAAGGAGAGGAAAGTAACTGAAGCATACTCATTGATGTCAACCATTCTACTGTAATGCCATTTATTGAGGATTTTTCTACAAACTTCCCATTCTGGTAGAGACTAGTAAAGCCCTAATCCAGAGTTACAAAATTAATTCACAATAAGCTAGTAAAAGTTAAGTCTTCCTCATATTTCTTACAGAGAAGTCAAAGGAATAGTCGGAAAAGTTGTTGAAGGGCAACAGACTATTGGTATAGAACTGAAATTATCAGATACAAATTTGTCATGAAACTGATACGGAGCAAACCTGCTAGAGTATAGCTCTAATTTTGTTGTCGCAAACAATATTTTTGGAGAAGCAATTATGCAACACATTCTCCACAAAACACATTATTAATAGGGAGATAGGGTGGTGGGAACAGTACTCGAGTTGAAAGGGGATGAGGGGGGAAGGCATCCCTCTTCTTAAGAAAATCTTAAAAATTATCCTCCTTCTTAAATGACCGTCCTCTGTGACATTTTATTACTGAATTGTAAAATTTCTACTATATATTAACAGTAATGGCAATAATATTGCCCTTTCAACATTTGGTGGGCTTTGGGTTTATGAGTAGCCTGAGCAAAATAAATAATACCAAAGAAGTGTCCTACCATGATTATCAAGCTGATCCCAGTGGGAAAATCGTCCTCTGCATTTTCCCTAACTATGCAGGGGCAGTGTTAGCCATACCAGTCCAAGGACTGACTGCAGTTCTACTGTACAGTGCCTTGGTCAAGGTCAAGGTCCGGCATACATCTGACATGTACAAACCATACCATGCATACCACTTTAGGTTAATAGATTATATTAGTTAGGCTATGTATCCTTCTTTCTGTTTAACAGCTAGACTACTGGGTGGGAACATTATGATCTAGCGCTGTCTTTCAGCTTAGACTACAGGTAGGAGAGTCTTAAAGAAACAGCACTTAATATTCTTTATAAAATCTGGGGATGAGAGGATGGTGGATTTTATGGGTGAAAATAATTCTAAACATAAACTAGAAATCTTTGTTCATTTTAGAGGATGATATTAAAGCAGCTAGACCATCTCCGCTCTTTTATCCCATTTTAATTTAAGTGAAAGAAGCAGAGATCAAACAGCAAAAAAGAGGCAAAGAGCCACCAGGATTTGTATGGAGGCTAAAAAAGTGCATCAATACAAAACATGTGACAAGATTCCCCAAACGGAAGATGCTATAAAATCCTTTTAAAATGTTTTTTCCTACCAATTTATATGGTGTTCGAATCTTTTTAGCTTCTTCATTTATTGGTACCAACATTGCTGTGTATTTCATATTAAATATCCTTTATTATAAACTTAAACTGAACTTGGTCAACACTCATTTCATTGCTGTAAGTGCAAGTCGGTTAACTTGACTACAGAGCACGCGGATAGCAAGGAGAAATATTTGTGGATATAGCTGAAACCAATCTGCATTAGATTAGAAAGAAGCTTGGATAAGCGGGGGAGGCATTCACAGAACTGTTTGTTTCATTCTATTGCCCCGAAGTGATTGTACAGTGCTGAAATGCTGTAGATACGGTAATTTCAAGATGCAACAATATCCGGACGGAAATTCAAAACAGAGTTTCCAATAATTTTAAAATGTAGTATGCAGTAACACCTGCCTTCAGGCACTGTGCAACCAATGATGCTGCCAAAAGAAAATACTGTTTAAAGAGTTCATGTATTTTACCAATTTTTCTTTCTTGTTTCTCTTTTTTTTATCGGGTGGGATCAGGAAACCAACCCAGTATCCCAATCTGTCATTTGTTTTTGCACCAGAGTAATCAAAAGCAAGAGGCTGCAAGAAAAACACAGACTTACCACAGATTTAGCAGCACAGATGCTGAAAGCTAAAGCACACCCCATACGGCTACAGGGAGTGTACTGCCAGCCGTGTGGGAGGCATGCTATTGTCATGTTTGCACAAGAGGGAAAATCTATTTAAACAAATTAGAACTGTAAATTTGCAAGATTCATGAAACCTAATAACTTTTTCCCGCATTGCTCATCTATTGCAGAGAAGCAGCGGCTGGTGGGGGGAGGGTGAGAGAAGGGAGTCGTGGTGCACAGCGACTAAACATCGCTGTGATTTCTTTTTTAATTCAAGCTCAACATGAATACCATAGTGGAACCCACCACCTTTGGGGATGAAAACAATCGAAGCAAAGAGCAAAAAGAAAAAGCTCATTTCAAGTCAACATAAATGCAATGTTTGCTCATTAAGAGTTAGCGTAGTGGAGAAACATCTTAGCCCCTGCAGTGTGACACCCTTGAAAACAAAGCTGCAACGCTTGGCGGAAGTGGATTCTGTTCAGCTGGTTGGACCTCCATTTATGGTTGCTAAAGCAACCCATAAATCAGAGCGGGTTAAAGCTGCTGGGATAAGGATGATGAACAGGAAATCAGCAGGTTCTAATGGTGATAAGGAGGAGCGCAGGTGTAATAATATACACAGCAGTGAAACTAAATTATATTTAAATCATGTAGACTTGCTACTAGAGCACTCATTTACAACACAGCAGTACAAGCATTCAATTAAATATTCAAAAGAAGTATCAGATGGAAGAGTTTGCATGCACCCATGCACTGCATCTGGTTTAGTGAATAAATAAATAAACAGAATAAATCACAAGATTTTAGCTGCATACTAATTAGTGTTCCCCCCCTTGGGAAAACGTTGCCCCCTGCACCACCCCCAACTAATAGCATGTGGTCATGATTGTGTGTATGAGTTTAAAGTCACCTTCTCCACCCCCTGCGTCACCCATCAGTGGAGGTTGGTGTGCTTTAGCTTGTGCTTAATTGCAAAAACGCAGAGGCAGAAGTCCATGAGAATTCCTTGGGGAGGGAAATTGAATCTGAAAACATTTCACCTTCATCAAGTGTCTTGTTGTTGATCACCGGTGTTGCAAGTGAAACATTAGAGGGAAATTAACATTCAGTGGGTATACAGTACAGCGCAGTGCTGGTAGATGAGTGGAGATCACCGGCGTGGAAGAAAAGAAGGAGTAAAAAGAGAAAAAAAAAAAAAAAACGGTGTTGCTTTACCTTTCTGATGGCCTCGACCAAGCGTCACAAAGCCAGACGAGATGAAGTTGTGTAGGTCGCCGCCTCCACTGCTCCGGATGCTTTCTTTTCCATAGTGGAGACCTGGTCATGCATGCCAAACCACCACACGTAATCATGGAGAAGCATTCAGACAGAGACACGTACACAAAAGATAAAAGCAGATAAATAATCTTAAAATAAGAGAAAATACCTAACTATAGTTGCATTTTCATTGTTAGAATCAGTCAAGAAAACTTGTTGTTGAATGAGGTTCAACAAATCTTTTGATGATCAGTTTCCTGTAAAAAAAAAAGTTGCAAATAAGCTTCTGTTTCAAGGTATTTTTTTTAAATAAATTAAAAAATGAAACCTCATAAACACTGGAAGCTGAAGAAGATACAACCACAGGACAACCTGAGATGGTGGAATAAAACTATTTGAAAGCGATATGTTTTCTTTTCAATATATATCTTTTATTTCATTTTATCAGACTAAAAGAAGATCACTGTCGTATAATTTGGTGTCCTGAATACACATTAGAAAAATTGGATGATGCACACTGTTACCAACATAGATAAACATAACACAAGCTTGGTCACTGATTGATATCACTTCCATTTCAAGGAAGCTTTTCTTATTCATGATATATTGACTTTATAACAAGTAACTATTTTCACTATTTCAGTGTTTGCTTAATTAGGTGAATAGTAGTGGGACTGAACATTAGTGAACATGTTATACCCACTGGAAGAGACAATGGGCTTATCACAATTACTTTAGAATCACTAAGATTCACAGATAATCAGAATTAACAGCTTTTTTTAATCAGTGCATTATAAAGTTTTAAGAGTAAAAATACTTTTCAGGTGAGAAGGTGATGACTAAAAGTATCTCATACCAATTTCCATTAAAAGCCTGTCACCATAGTTAGACTGGGTTAGCTGGAATGGGTGCTCGTAATGCATTCCATTCCCATGTCGTCATTTTACAATTTCTAATTTACATTGAACTGATCAGTACATCAAAGGACATTCATTTAGGTCAAGGGGTCATTTTATTGAATTAGGTAAGCAAAAAAATGAGCATGAACTAACTTTTCAGTTGATACCAATAAGACAAAAATGCTTTTCAATGAAGTTTCATTCATTTATAGCTGCAGTTTTATTCTTCTTCACCCCAGATCTGTAATAAATGCATCTTTGAACATCATCTCTACCATTTTAATATAAACCAGGATATTAAACCCATCGTTCCACGTAATTATTGAACGTAGCAATGTTTGTGGAGACTGAGAAAGCAGCTTTAACAGTTCAAGTTTTTTACCAGAGACCTGTTGAAAACTGTCAAATATTTGACTCTTTCCACTTTTTTACCTGTTCAAAGATATCAAAAAAAGGAGAATTTCTCCATGGTGTCATTTTTATTTGACATAAATAAAGGAGGAATGGCAGATATGTGAACCATACAGACAAGCATTGTGGACTGATACAGACTGAAAAAAAAAAAAAAAGCAATATATTTTCACCGCCCACATACCAATGCACTTTGAACTCAATCACACCTCTCAGCACATTGCTTTTATGGCTGCAGATAGAGTATCTGCTGGGGTTATTTTTCCCATTCAATCATACAAGCAATTTTGTGTCTGACACAAACACATGCTATTATGCTTTCCCTTTGTCACCTTTGTCACTGATTGGCCTCCCTGCAACCAAATGTGACAACCCCTCAATCTGAAAGACCCCCTCAAGAGCAGTCAGCCCCGTCGTTCAGTCAACCCGCTCCCATCTTCAGCTCATTAAGTTGAGGTGGCTGAAGAGCCTTTAGGGCAATTGCCACACATTATGAATTTATTGTCTCTGGTACAAAAAGAAAGAAAATCGTGAATTCATATGCCTGCTAGACCATAGCTAGGGGAGGCTGAGAATTCCTAAGGTAATAATTCTTTAATCAGTCTTTAATAGACACTTACACTTCTGAATTACCTCCAGGAGAAGATAGATTTGAACATTTATAAAACTACATCTTTAATGGGTCTGAAAGAGTTTCTGGGTTGCTAAAACTGGGCATGGTGTCTTATCACAGCAAGGTGGAGAGAATTTCAATATATTTTTAAGAGGAATATCAGAGGGAAAATTTGGATGCTGTTAGGATGGACAAAAATCTTCAGTTATGTAGACTTTGTCCCTTACTCTAAGAAGATTTCAGATGTATTTTTATGTGATTTTAACAAAAAACTTAAATGATTTCTCTGTTAATCCAACTCATGCCCTCTTGTGTTAATGATGGTGTATTACAGTAAGTCCACTTTAGTTCATAATTAACCATATACTGCAAAGAGGTGCTGATAAATCCCTGTGTTTGCACCTGAAGCCCACTTCTCACGAACATGTATTCACTCACAGGGCCAAAGGTCCATCTGCATAATAAGGGGTAATAACGAGATGAACGCCAGACGACAATTAGCTTGGGTCTTTGAGATGCTGGGGTTTAACACAGGTGCACTCTGGGAGTAGCCTCAATTAAATATGCTGATGGAGTCAGCACGGAGATGATAGTTATAATGCTGGGTTGAAGATCATCTGGCCAATCAGGAGCTGAAGAGGTCACAGTCAGCACAGTGGAGATGTTAAAGCACGATTAATTGGCGAGAAAGTTGTGGGAAGAAGAAGGGGGAGGTGATATTGCACATGTGAAGCAGGACAAGAGAACTCTGGGAATATAATATTAAAAGACTAATTATTGGCTGTTCATGTATTGTCAGGGTATATAGAAGTGTAAATCTTCCAAATTTTTGGTTGGAAAACAAAGTATAATGATGCAACTGAAATTAATATCTAAACACTGCAAAAAAATTAATCACTGCAAAACTTTTTTTTTTTTTTTCTTTCATTTTTATTTTATTAAACTGGGCAGGTACCGGTAAGTGAATCACTTAACATTTAAGCCTGTCACAGCCTGGAACGGTGTCCCTCATGGGGGTGGGTCTGGGGCTAGACCTGGGCTACACTGCTGCTCTCCTCCCTTTAGTGGGGTCCGATCTCAGCCCCCCGATCACAGCCCCAGCTCAACCTGCCTGTCACCTTCCCACACTGGGGGGTCGGGGATCTCCTCCTGGGTCTGTGGGCCTGTTGCCCTTAAGGGGATTGGCCCCTAGACTTGGGAGAAGAGTACATATGTGGAGTGTAAGAATATGCAGTGTCTGTCCCTGTGTGCTTCTTCGTTGAGTGCTTGTATATGTACATATGGGAGTATGGGTGGGATTGTGTGAATGTAACTGGATGAATGGGATTTTTTGTCTTTGTCTATTTTCCAGGTTGATTGTTTGCCTCTCCTCCCATCTACTGGATCATCTTAGTGCCCAGGTATGAACAGGTCCTGCCTCCTTCCCCTTCTTATGCTCCCCGCCGAGGAGAGGTGCCCGTGTCTGCTGGGATGCTGATGATTCTCTAGGTTCGGGGCTGGGTACTTCATTGGGTGCTGTCTCATTCCTGGTTGCAGCCATGCCTGTGGGGTCCCCATTAGGGGGAGGTACAACCCAGTTTGGCCCCTCTGGGGTCATGCTATGGGTGCTCTCATCTTTCCCTTCTCTGGTTTGCACCGCCCTGAATGATGTTGTATAATCACCATAGGTTTTGCGTTCGATTGATATCTAAGGGATACCCACTGCTCTTGATTTTTTTTTTATTTTTTTATTTTTTTAATGTTTCCTTTGTTTGTCTGTTGTGTTCTTTTTGCTGTTGTCACGTTCTCTGTTTTCTGTTCCTCTCGTCTCATACAGGTTGGGAGGTTACTTCTAGAAGATACTGTATATCTTGTCTATTTTTGCTATTTTTCATGCACACTTTCGTGTCCCTATTTTTTCTCATTCAATTGAATGATGTATAATTATCTTTTTTTAAAGGTAAAATGACTCATTCCATCGTCATATCATCTTCTTTTTCTATTCAAATGAAGGGTAAAAAGTAACATTCATTCAAAATGGCCCTTCCCAGTCAAACAGCAGCGGAATGGCAGCCCACTTCCCTGCAGCTTCCAGCAAAATCCCCTCCAACTTCCAGCCACTGGCCTTCTCCTGGACATGCATAACTTTTTACTCTGACTCCACCCTTTCACTGAATTACAGGGTCTGACCAGGAGAGGATGCCTTTCTTTATATCCTAATGTCAACAAATCATGACAAAAAGAATATTTTAGCACAAAGGTTGATGTTTAAAAAGGAATTGTAGGGGACCAGCCAAGGATCAGCCAAGGGCCCATCAAGGAAAGTGGGAAAATTTTGAATGGCTACTACTGTATAAGCTAGTTTTAAGAAATGTTTACTCATTTCTAGATTGTTTTTCGAGTGATTTTGGAATCTAACATCATCAAACATAACCTTAAATTCCAGCATGACTTTCTTGGATTTAAAAAACTTTTTTTTCACACAATTTAAAAACAGCCTCAGGAATTTCTAATAGTTTTCCTGATCTTTCAGACATGTTAAAATGTTGCACAAAAACCAGAGGTTATTTGGCAATTTTCTCATCATGGAATGTTTTTATTATGAATATGCTGGATTACTTTTAATCTGTGGAGCCTTATGGACGAATGGAGTATAAACAATTGACAACAAACAATTAAAACGGCTTCTGGATGCCTTCCAAGGTATGTTGTTGTGGCTGCTTTGTCATGTTTACATTTTGACATGCTGCTATATCTGTGTTAAAGCTACAGTGTGTAATAATTACAGGGATATACAGTCAGAAATGTAATATATTATACATAACTATGTTATTTATCATCATCTACGAGCTCAGCCTCTTAACCTTAATATTTGCGTTGCCTTAGAATTTGTTATTTATAATTACATAGGAGCGGGTCTCGCAGCCATGGAGGCAGACATCTTTGCGCTACGGCAGCGCAGAGCCAACAAACTAGCGATTGCGAGATCGCCAAAATGTCACAAAGGGACTACGGCAAGTTGAGAGAGATGAACTGAGACGGTACTGAACAATAGATGGCATGTATGTAAACAAACCTCATCACTTGAGAAGGTAGGTGATGCGGACGTCGTGGAAGACATTTTGTCCCGTAACGCTCGCCGTACTGTTGGGGGGGAG